ACATTTACCACAAATTAAATGTATCTTATATTATTAGATATATTATTATAAAACATGCTTTGGTTAAGGAGTTATTGATACTTCAAGTGCAAAATGATGATATAAAACCATGATAAAAATGCACTTTTAAGTACTAATCAGTATTTAAAATCTTTTTAGATTATTATTTGAATCTCAAATGAAATTCAATTAATAAAAAAATATGGACAAGCAAATCATCGAAGAGCCACTTGATTTGTTTGCTATAGTCATTTCTTTCAGAATTAATATTGAAAATAATATTAAAAAAAATATACACTTCTTTCAACCTTCAATCATCACAGCTTTAAAACACCTATTTTCGCCATGTTAAGGATGAAATGTAACTTCTGCCTCTCTATATATATATATATCCAAGATGGAAATCTTCAGATAACGTTCTGAGTTTTTTCTATTTGATGATGTGATTTTTGGTGGTTTAATGTTTATTTTATTTAAATTTAATTTAAGATTAAAGAACTTTTATTGAATATTTCTAGATTATTTTTCTCAATGTTCCCATGAAAGATTTTAATCAAAATTAAAAAAAAACAAATATATATTTTCTAATTTTTTTCAACAGATAATTAATATGATATAGGTCTATTTATATATTTTTTAAAGTTCTTTGTTTTATTTCATTTTAAATAAATATAAGAGTCCTATAACAAAAACAAATAACTTCCTTAAAAAAATAATGTATAAATATGGAAACACCATAATTTAAGAAACTCAAACCTCACATTGTTTATTTAAAAATATAAATTTGAAAACAAATGGATTACCATATTGTATTAAAATTCATTTTGTTGTGATTACTTTTTTAAAAATATATATTAGGTTTTAGTAGCATGAGGGTATTTTTGTTAGTTTTAGTGAAAACATCTTACATAAATATATTAAAGATAAAATTGAAGGAAATTGAAGTAATAGAAACAGACTGAAGAATATATACATAAGATAAGTGAAGTTAATTTCTTGGAATTAATGTTGACAATTATTGGAATTGTTAGGGATCTTAGTTGGTTTACCAAAGACAAAATGAGAGAGAACAAGAACAATAATGTGGCATTGAGCCACTAACAGGTCTTGTCACCTGTAATTCAAGACAAAATCATTATGTAGAAGTAGCATTATGTTCTTAGTAATTAAGAAAAAAAATTTTCTGAAGTCACTTTAAATATTCGGTTTATGAGATTCACTAAACCCTAAACATTTTGTTTCATTAATCTTTGTTCCCACCCCCTGTTTTAATTTGATTGTTTTCATATATTTGATATTGTGTTGTAATTGTTTTTTAAAATATTTTGTGTTTTAAATATATTAAAAAAATATTTTTTTTAATTTTAAATTTTTTTTTATATCAATACATTATAAAAACTAAAAAAATTAATTTGAAAAAAAAATCAATTTAAAAAAACACAATATCACTGCAAAAACAAATATTAACTTATTCTTATTCATATAAAATATATAGATGAAATTTACAGCAAAAGAAACAGTGTGCATAAAAAAAACTTGATAGGATTGAAGTAGTATTTGGAAAGGTGATTATGTTCTCTAAAAAGTTGATTTTTATAATTAAAATTAAATTTTTTTATTTTTTAGATTATTTTTAATATATTGATTTTTTAAATTATTTTAATGTAATGATTTAAAAAAAATAAAAAAGCACTACCTTTATATACTTTTAAATAAAAAATAATACAACTATACTCAAAAACACCATTATAATAAACATAGACGGGCCATGTCATTTCCGTTGCGGGGCAACGAGAAGCCATCATGCCTTTAAAAAATACGCGTGTTTTGAGGAGCAGAGAGGGATTATTATGACAAAACAAAGACAAATTGATCACCGAATCAATGATATGTCACGCTCCGCATTCAACCATCCAAAAAAGGAAAGTGGACTCGACCTTCCCGAAATTATCAGAGGTCAATACAGGCAACGAAAACTTCAACACCCACCCACCCACCCACCTCAGATTTTCTCCATCAGTTTTTTCAAGTAAAACTTACCGTACTGGTTTTGATTGAGTTTAGTTTAGTTTTTTAAAATATAAATTAATTTAAATTTATTTTGATTTTTTTGATTTTGTTTAATTTTCTAATTTGACTTAATTTTTTTTATTTCACTATGTGTTTTTCAATCTTTTTTATTTTATATTTATAAAACTGAAACCAAATCTGAGTAGTTTTTTTAAAATTTTATTTAGGGATTCTGTTTTTTCAATTAATTTTTCTAATCTTTTTAATTTAATTAATTTAATCAATTTTTTACTTATCTTTAATAGAACTTAACCCCTCCTTTGGATTTAAGAGCCTAGACCTGATCAAATCAAATTGCGTTCAAAGTTAACGTACAAAATCACGCTGAATTTAACAACTATGCTTCGAAGGGTGTGCGACCTCCAAAGTGGCCTAGTTAGCCTAACCCATCATAAGCCTAGGTAGGACGCCCCCCCCAACACCCCCCCCGGTTAGCCTTCTTGGGGTAATTTCGAACCCCATGTTTCTCTCACCTTGGTGTAGAATGGCTCGAATCCAATTTTCCATTCCTCCCTTTAACGTAGGATATATAAGAATGTTTGAAAATATGGTAATTTATTTATTTTTTTTAAATTATTTTTTATATTTAAAATATTCAATGTTAAGGCGACTCTCTTATCATATCATGGCTAGTCCTGTAGAAATGGTGTTAAGGTATGTTCATGGGGGAGCAGGATCCACCTAATAATATCACTTCTCAATTAATAATATAATCACAAAGTTTATTTTCTCAAGTAATTATCTCTAAACTAGGTCAAATAATATACCCCTCTCTAATGCAAGTTCCTGTATTTCCCAAGTATAAAAACCTCAAAAGAAATATTAGGTAAAGGCTAATAAATTCACTTATTTCCAACATTCTTTCCTTTTCTTACAACTACTCGCATTTATTATTATTTTTTCAACACAAAGTTCATTACTTTTAAATCTATATTTTTTTTATTTAGTTCAACAGACTTAAGTATACTAAGAAAGAATAAATTAGATGGATTAGTTGACTTGTCATTGTATTTAATTAAATGCAAAACGGGAACGGCGAGAATTTCTTGGGCCTCTGCCTCATAAAAAGGCGAAGGACAAGATGATAAAAGAAACGAAGTCAGGTCACCGAAATGTCGCCATCGAAGGCATAGGTAAACGGCGGATCACAGACTATACACACAGTCCCATAATTTCCTACATAGGCTTCCATCCTACGTCCTTTTCGTCCTCTTGCTCTCTCTCTCTCTCTCTCTCTCTCTACATATATATATATATATATATATATATATTAACATAATAAATTTAAAGAAATGATAACAAATTAAGAAATAACATATTTTAATTTTGTTATATTTTTAAAATATAATATTTATTAAATATCACATTTTTAAAATGTGATATTAATTAAATGTTAAATATTATAAATATTTAATTATTTTTTTAAATATCCATTCACTTCTCAAACATTTTTAAAAATATTATGGTTTATAAATATTATAGGCATTAAATATCGTTGTTCAGAATTATAATATAATTAAAATTTTATATTTTCAAATTATAATATTTTTAAACTATATTTTTTTAAGAAAAATTATCTTATACTATTTTTTATTTAATTATATTTTGCTAGGTAATTATGAATTTTGTTTTTATATTTTCTTGTAGTTTATTGTAGGGTTAATATAGGGTAACTCAAGGATTCCCTATTTTCTGCCTCGTTGTAAATGGCTCTGACAACAATGTTATTTACTAGGCTGGCACTACTTTCTTGTCGTAAACAACCCCTCGCCTTATAGAAATATATTCACAATTTCTTTGTCAAATAATATTCTAATTTCTAGCCCTCCAGCCTGTATTATCAGCCTTTAGGCCTCGTTAATTTTTAATACCTTTTTCTTGGTTGTATTTACTTGCGCTTTACCGTTGAGCTCCATGTGGCATTTAATAACACGATAACGGTTAATTTTTTGAAGTGTTTTTTAATTTATAAATATATTAAAATAATATTTATTTTAATTTTTTTAAATTTATTTTTAATATTAATATCTTAAAACAATTAAGAATATATAAAAAATAATTTTAAATAAAAAACTCAACATGGTAGCAATTTTCAATGCTGAGAATCTTTAAAGTAGGAAACTGTTCAATTACCTTTACGAAACCTTGGAAATCTATTCATTTTTTAATGTCTAGGGAGACCCCAAATTCGATGAAAATGAAAAAAAAAAGAGGAGGAGGAGGAGGAGGAGAAGAAAAAAACTACAATAATATATTTCGGGCTAGTTTGATATTGTATTTTAAAATTATTTTTTAAAAAATTTAAATTTTTTATATTTTTTATATTTTTAAATTATTTTTATATACTGATCTCAAAAATATTTTTTAAAAAATAAAAAAATATTATTAACATACTTTTTTAAATAAAAAATACTTTGAAAAATAATTATAATTATACTTCTAAATATATTCTTCTAAAGATTGAATGGTTTTATGTTTTTGAGGGCGTGACGTGATGACAAAAAATTTGAAATATATATAATAAATTTTAAGTTTGAATTAAAACGTGTATTTTTTTATAAAAATTTAGGATAACCAAAGTTTTATTCTTTCATCCGGACCTATAAAATGTACTTTTTAAGGGATAAAATTTCCTCAAATAAAAAAAAAAGGTTTGTTAATATTTATTTTTTTATCATGAAATTTATTTTAAAGATAAGTATTTATTTATTTTTGAATGGTTCAACAAAAGTACCACTACACATTCAAATAATTAAAAGAAATTAATAAATTGCTTTAGATGTTTTCTTTTTGTTTTTATTAAAGTGTTTATTTTGAAGTAGGATAAATCTTCCACGTATAGCAACAGTGAAAAATTGTAAGACTGTGAATAAAAAGGTAATTTAAAAAGAATGTCATTCAACATTGTCATATAGGTGTCTTTTGATAAATTAAATAAATAAACAGCAAAAATTGAGTTGCATTTCTATTTTTATTGTAAAAAAAATAATTTTATATTTTAATAAATTAAATAAATAAACTACAAAGATATAGGATACCTTAGGTATTGTGGCGTGATTTTTTTCTTTAAATTAATTTTTATATGTTTTAATACATTAATATCAAAAATAATTTTAAAAATAAATATTACTTTACTATATTTTTAAATAAAAATTACTCCGGTATCACGAGTGCAATTACTGCTGCGGCCTGCATGCATATTTCAGATTCACCGGAGCAAGAGCCATAATAATAGCCAAGCGACAACGCACGGTGGTGAAGGTACACGTGAACGGTATCTACGGTGCACACGTGCATGTAATTTACTAAGTTATAATTTAAACTAAGAAAACATTAAATCAACCAAACTTAATCCATATGATAAATTGATTGGTGACTTAATTAATTCTGTAAAATTCAATAGAATAAAATTAAAATAAAAATATTTTCTTGAAAAGGACTTTACCATGGGCGAAGTTTATATGTATATAATATTTAGTTATTATAGTTATTTTTAAAATATTTTTTATTTAAAAATATATTAAAATAATATTTTTTAAATTTTAAAAATTATTTTTAATATCAGCACATTAAAATGATACAAAAATATAAAAAAAATATTAATTTAAAACAGAGAAAAAATAAAAAAAATTAATTTTTTTAAAAGTATTTTTAAAACATAAAAATAAATAAAAATTTACAAAATTAAGTTAAAATACATGTAAAAATAACTTTACAAAACTATATTTTAAATTTATTTTTTTAATAATTCTTAAAAAAACTTTATTTCATTGAAAATATAAAAATTAGCTTAAAAAAAATGAAGAATAATCCAGCTCTCGCTTCAGCAAGAATATATAACTATTAAGTTGACACAAACACTCAAATTAATATAAAAAAAATACATAAACGCTGAACAGCTTCATGAGTACTGTGCAATTTGGAAGAGTGATAGAAGAATAGTAGCAACTAGATTATTTTCACGCGGGTCGGATTAAATTTTATTTTAATATAAAAAATATTTAGATATTTAATGAGTTAATATAAAAAATAAATTTTAAAAATTAAAAAATATTTTTAAATAAAAATAACTTTGAATAACAAGTGCGAAACAACAGTGTCCGAAACCAGAAGAGGCCGATTTTTATTTTACCCACGCCGACACTCGGACCACAGATGCAGCCTTTTTGGCACCAACCACCACAACTAACTGAAACGGACACAATATCCTATCGAGTGAAATTACTAGAACTACCCTTCTAGTCCAACGAAGCTCTCTTTTCGAGACATACAGACCTCAGTAGAGACCAGAGAGTCTAGAGAAGAGACAGCCGGTCTCCCCCCACCCCCGTCTGCTTCCTCTGCTTCTGCGTGCCATTTGCCGAGATAGATAGAAGAAATATAATAATATAATTGCAGAATAGAACTTGAAAAACAATATAAAAAGAAAAGAAAGGAAAGGAAAGCTTATTTATTTACTTCTCTTCTTTAAATTCAATATCAGCCCCAGTAGTCTCATTAATTACACTTACCACTTCTTACCAACCAGTTGCCATCACCTCATCGACATCCATCATCAATGCCATCTACTCCCACAGAAAAATCAACAGGGTTCCTGTACAGTTGAACTGCTATGTTATATCTTCTTCAAAGACATCGCCTGTCAAAACCAAGACGACCTGTTTTGTTGTGGGCTCTTCGGTATTCCGCCTTTTACGCTATTATTCAAGCATTTGCTAACTTCGATGTTTGAATAATTTCCATGGACGTAGTAGTAGCATGAATATTACGTTTCCTTTTAATTTATTTTCCAGGTTTGTTTTGGTTTTCTCAAACTTTGTCGTGTTCTTTTTTTTGTTTTCTTACTTGCTCTTTATTTTATTTCTTCCTTGTTTGAAATGCCCTCTGAATTCTTGGATTCAATCTCTTGTCTTTCTTTTATTTTTAAAGAGAAAATCAAGTTTGGTCTTTCTTACTTCAAGTCCTGCTATTATCTCTGTTTAGAAGAGCAATGGGATTGGCTTAACGTTTGTGCATGCTCTCCTGGCTGTCTTCTTCATCTCGATTCTCTTCTCTGTTGCGCTTCTTTTTGAGGTTAAAGGTACCCTTTTTTATTCTCTTGCTTTTTGACGTGGTTTGTGGATAGAATGTGATGCGTTTTTGCATGCCGTTTTTAATTATTATGCGATTCAAACTTGTTTTCTCCGTTCTCTTTTCTCACATTTGTTCATGCTGATTCTTATTGATGATAATTAAATTTATTTAGAATATCTTTTGACTTTCTGCATTTTCCGGTCTATGTGGCTATGGGTTTGTAGAGTGAACAGGAGATAAAGGGTATGATTGTCGTGTTTGGTCTTTGAAATATTTTGAGGTCCCCCCCTCCATCACCAGTCACCCTTACTTTTTTCTTTTTTTTAAGAAAAAATAATATAGGCTTCATGATGTCCATGCGATGATGGGTTTTGGATACAGATAAGATATGAAGGTGTGTTTCTTATCTAGGACGTCTGGATTTTTGTTCTATCGAGATGGGATTACATCTCTCTATGGTGGTGGATCCTGAAATTTGATTCTGGAGTGGGCCAAAGGAGTTTATTTCTTATTCGTACTATTTGATTTTGGAAGATGGCTGACGGGAGGCGACATTCAGTCGATATTCCCATAACAAGAACCCTCATAGCCCTCAGGAGAGTGAGGTCACTAAGGGATCCATCAACCAATTCTATGAGCAAATTCTCTGCTTTGCTGGAAAATGTCACCTGGGAAACAAATTCCACCAAAGAAATATCTATACAGTGTGACGATGTTTCCAAACAAGGCCGCTTGAATCACACTGGTCTTTCAGGATGGAAAAATTTAGGTCTTGATGAACGCCCGGAGGAACAAGTTGATAATTTTGATTCACAATATAATATGGGAAGGTCCGAGTTAATTTTCCGTGAGATTTCGGGTGGAGTGAAAAGTATGGATGCTCCTCTTGGGACCGAAAATGTTGAAGGGGATAATTGTGATAGAGAGGCTAGCGGAACTAAGTTGCTGAGTGAAGAATATTATGGCAGTCGTAGGAACAAAGTGTTGGATTTGGTATGCACCACACCTTTGAGCAATCAACTGGAGGACGGGGATTCAACTAGTGGACCCATTACAGGATCTCCACTAGGAATTGACCTCTCTGTTCCAAGACAAAAACCTCGATCCAAAAATCAAGTCAAGTCATACAGTGGGGAGGGTGACGTTTTGAGTCGTGCAGGTAGTCCATGCTTATCTGTCAGTGATGCTTTGTCCAGCCATAGCACGTCATTGTTTGCTAATGACGAGGCTGATTTCATGGTTCAAAATGACCGTGGATGTGGGATAAGCTGCTGCTGGACAAAAACCCCAAGACTCAGAGATTCAAATCCATATTCCGATGCAGAAGGCAATCCATTATTGTCCAGAGATGTAGCTGAGACAACTCGTGGGAAGAGGAGCTGGAAGCACACTACAAATGAAACTCCTAGGAGTTTGAGTCAGAAATTTAGGCCAAAATCTTTTGATGAATTGGTGGGACAAAATGTAGTGGTAAGATCTCTTTTGGGTGCCATTTCTAAAGGAAGGATAACCTCTTTATATCTCTTCCATGGTCCTCGTGGCACAGGAAAGACATCTGCCTCGAGGATATTTGCTGCTGCCATGAATTGTCTCTCACATGAGTACAAACCATGTGGGGTCTGCCGAGAATGTGTTGCGTTCTTTTCTGGAAGGAGCCGGGATGTGAAAGAAGTTGACTCCATCAGAATTAATCAGGCCAAAGGGATTAGATCTCTTATAAAGAATGCATCAATGCCACCAATTTCATCACGTTTCAAAGTTTTCATTGTTGACGAGTGTCATTTGTTGCATGGAGAGACATGGCGAACTGTTTTGAATAGCCTAGAGAACCTGTCGCAAAATGTTGTCTTTGTGATGATCACTCCTGAACTTGATATGCTACCGAGAAGTGCAGTCTCTCGGTCTCAAAAATATCATTTTCCAAAGATAAAAGATGCTGATATAGCGGGCAGATTGAGGAATATCTGTGTTGAAGAAGATCTTGACTTTGATCATGTTGCTTTAGACTTCATTGCTGCTAAGTCAAGTGGTTCCCTTAGGGATGCTGAAATTATGCTTGATCAGTTGAGTTTGCTTGGTAAACGAATTACAATGTCCTTGGCCCATGAGCTTGTGAGTGCTCTCTTTTCTTGTGAATATTTACTGAATATTTCTTCTCATCGAATTAATAGAAGTGATCATGTTATTGTCAGATTGGAGCGGTTTCTGATGATGAATTGTTTGATTTGCTGGATCTGGCCCTGTCATCTGACACGTCAAGCACTGTCATAAGAGCCAGGGAATTGATGGGGTCCAGGATTGATCCTATGCGACTTGTATCCCAGCTGGCAAATCTCATAATGGATGGTCTTGCTGGAAAATGCCAAGATAATAGTTCTGAAGTCAGAAGAAAGTTTTCAAGGAAGCATGCTTGTAAGTTTTGCATAGTTAAAATATGTGTGCTGTCTTGCTCTGGAGAAAATTATCATTGTTAGTAACATCGACTTGAATGCTTTGCCAATTGTTATTTAAGCCCTCATTTGGTTTTGCATTCTTTCTGACTTTGCATATTGTCTTAGCATGCTGAATTGGGCTAATGATAGTTTAGCAGTTCAATCAGTGTCCCACATAACTGCCTGGCACCAGTTTACTCATCAGTGACTAGTGACAATGCGTGCAGACATTGGGCATGCATGGCCCCATGCATAGCATTACATGGGCTAGTGCCATACTGATTTTTCGCCCATGTGAAGATGATTAGCATATTACTGCTTGACTATCTAGCACATGATGCCTGTTTAAGTTGTGTTGTTTTCAACTTCAAGATCAACATATTCTCCCTTTATTTTTAGCTGTATCATCTGCTTTGTTTGTAACTATATGCATTTGCATATCTTTATTATATGCTGAAAGTTGCAAGTTTTCTTCTTACAGCTGAAGGAGACATGCAGAGACTGAGTCATGCATTGAGAATACTATCTGAAAGTGAGAAGCAACTGAGGATGTCAAAAAACCAAAGTACATGGCTTACAGTAGCTCTTCTGCAGTTGAGCTCACTGGAAGCCTCTCCCATGGATGTGAATGATTCAAAGTCTTCAATGAGAAATGGACATGACCGAGGTTAGATGTTTACCACGGCCCTTTTGAGCATTCCATTCATCTAAGTGTATTCCCCCTCACTCTCTCATCTAATTAATTCTTGTGGATACAGATGGAGACTTTTCGAGCACACCGTCCACCGGAGAGAGCTTGAAGCATCTTGCTCTGCATTCATGTGAAGACAGGAAATTGGAAAGATTGCAAGTAGAAGGGGCTTGTAAAGTGACATTGGATTCCATATGGAAGAGAGCTAGTGAATTATGCAAATCAAATTCACTCGGGAATTTTCTCAGGAAACAAGGGAAACTATCTTCTCTTCATTTTAATAAAGGTACATATGCATGTGGTTTTTCTTTTTCAAGCTTCTGCATCCACCCTCACTATACTTTTGTCATATAGAAAATGAAGGAATGGCCTTCCATGTGATTTGCTATCACTAGTCGACTTTCAAACAATGGATTCATATGCAACCTTAAAGTCAAAACCATATAAATAGTAGATTACACCCTAGGAAGGAAGGGGATGATTATCCAAATGATCTCTTGCTATTAATAAACAGGTTAATTGACTTGCTATTACTGAAGTTCTGAAACCCGCCTTAACCCATGAGCTGGCCCAAGGCCTTGGTCACGAGTTGAACATGTCATTTTTTTTTTAATTTTGTTCAAAATAATATTGTTTTGGAAGGAAAAAAAACTGAAACAATGTTGTTGTTTTAAAAAAAAAATGGTTGACAAGGTCTCACTTGGGTAACAAGTTTATCCATTGGTTTGACTGGTTTCCCAGGGTATTTGCATGGCCACTCCAAAAGGAGATGGGTCTCTGGGATGACCAGGACCCATTGACCCAGGCTGGGTTTCAGAACATTTTCTGTTGCAAAATTTTTCATGAAGCTTGCGTTTCGTGCATCAGTTGCTTTTATTTGCAAGTTTTGAAAGTTTCAGTGGCATCATTGCCATATTGATTGCTTTCTTCCTCCAACCTTGTAGATGTTGGTAGAATGTCTCATTTTTTGCTCAAAGGGTTCTCGTTAGCAGCTTACTTGTAAATTTGTTTGAAAGCATGGAATGAGTTTCTCCATCTTTCAATTGATGACTGAGCCCTATTGCACTTTAGGTCTGGCAGTAGCTGAATTGGAATTCCATCATCCAAACCATGCATCTAAGGCTGAAAAGTCATGGAAGTTTATTGCAAGTTCACTGCAAACAGTTCTGGGTTGTAACGTTGAAATCCGGATCAATCTTGTAGTTTGCGCTCCTGTGTCAAAGTGTGCCAGACTAAGGAAGCTATCTTTTAGTTTGTTTGGTTGTTCTCGGATAACACGTCACAAGTCACATCCACCCATGGAATGTGGAAGTGACTCCGGCTACTCTGATCACGTCTCTGAAAAGCCTATGATAAGGGAGAAAGCTATTTTAGCCTGTCCTTCTGATTGTGGATCCCAGATACCACACAGCTGTTACCACAGAGTGGAAGTAGGGAGGACTTTAAGAAATAGCGAAGGTAATGTGCTGAGCGTAGGGCCAACCTCATCTCACAGATCACTACCTAGTGATACATCTAAAACACCCGGGTATGGGTTTCCTTCTTCAAAGGCTGGAGAAAGTGACCGTGACCATACAATTTTCTCTGGTCAAGAGGCCAAGGATCAGCCAAACTGCTTTCCTAAAAGTCTTAGGCTGCCAAAGAAGTCACGTTCTTCAGAGACTACTAAAGTGGTTCGTATTTGTACTCATCAAGAAAACAAGCTGGCATTGTCTGTCCCTGGGAAGGAATCTATTGAAAACATGCACCATTGCCAGTGATTCATATTTATTAAGTGGCAACAACTACAACTCCACAATTGAGAATGGGTAAGAACTCACATAGTATCCAATCACATATAGACTTTACAGTAGTTAGCTATTGAATGCAATGTATGCATGAGTATCTAAGGCCAAGCAAAGCAAGTTTTGGCAAAAAGACTGAGAATATATAAATTTGGGGAACTGGCACGGGATTCTCCATTTCTCAAATAATGGAAGTTTTATTCCAAACATTCCCCAGAAGATCCATTTCATAAACGACAAAGTAGTTTTCTAGTGTTGGTAATTGGATGCTCTTTTTATAGGGAAATTTTCCATTTCTCACCCCATTGTTTATCATCTGCTTCAATCTGTTTTGTTCTTGTATTTAGTTATCATGAATTTGCTTACCACGAATCACTATGAATATCTAACTTGAAGCTAGAAACATGACTGAGTCACTGAAATATTGCTGGCACACCGTATTCTACGTTGGTTCGAACGTTCACTTAGTGGGTAAAGGTGTGTCAATGTTGCAGGTTTGGGGGCTAGCTCATCGGCAACAAGAATCATCTTTGGTTAGCTGGGTTCTTCCCTGTACCGCGCCAAGTAGTTCTGCTATCTAGGGAAGATGACGGTACTTCTGTTCACTGCAAGGAGCTTCAAGCATGCTTTGTGCATTGCACTTTTTGGTATGCATGCATATATGTTACAGAATGTCGTGCATGTCAGTTCTCCCTGTGAAATGAACGACTACACATATATGCTCGAAGCTATGGATTCTGCAGTGACGTATATCATAGTTCTTTCAATTTTAAGTAGTTTCAGTGTGTCGTTAATTCCAGTTTTAAAGGTCAACTATGAGAAGCACAAGTAGCCATCTATTCTTGGCTGATCAGTTGTGTGACATGTTGCCATCACATGGTTCCATAAGGTTGCTAGATATGGCTGGAATTGTGAAAGCTTGGGAGCGTGCCATCAAATTTCAAATTTCACAGTTTGCATGGCAAATAGTGAAAGAAGGAAAGAAAGAGGAGAGAAGAGAAAGAGGAGGGGGGAGCCCAACAGTTTGGGCCTGGCCCAAACGGCTCCGTTCCGAGTTTTATATCTAACCGTCGTGTTTTTTTCCTTTACCTATGATAATATCAGGCACTTCTTCTGTTAAACGTTTACATGTCGGGATTCCTTGTGGTGGCCTCCGTTTATTTCTCGGATATTTCGTAAAAGTATCATGGCAAATTAAGAGTTTTGGAGAATAAACATAAATTTAAAAAGATTTGATAAAATAATATTTTTTTTGTATTTTTAAAATATAATATTTATTAATATTTTTTTTGTACTTTTAAAATATAATATTTATTAAATGTTGTTATTTTTAAGAGTGATAATTATTTTACCTTGTTTTAGAGTAATGATATTTAAATATGGCGTGACGCCTAACAACTTAGTGTTCCTGACGATGCTTAACATGTAGTTTCATTGTGAATAGTAGTTTCATTGTCAATAGTTTAATGAGTTGATCTAATTGTATGAATTAATTAATTATTTTATATAAAAATAATATTTTTATGAATTTTTTTAAGTATATTTTATATGGATAAATATTTTTTTTTCTAACTTGTAAATTTAAAAAATAAATTTTAATTAAAATTTTAAAAAATTATTATTATGTAGCAGATGATTTGTTCCATATAAATTATTACGTAGCAGATGATTTGTTCCATATAAATTATATTATAAATTTGTTCCATATAAATTATATGAATGACGGCAAATATACAAAATTAGTAAGATAGATCTAGATTTAAAAAGAGAATTAATACTGAAATAATAACTAAGAAACTCATAACTTTTCATTTAGTTATTTAAGAAAGTTATTTAAGAAAGTTATGATCATATTTAAATTTTTATAAGAGTTTTTAGAGGTTATTTTCTTTAAATTAATTTTGAATCTTTAAATTTCTTACTTTAAAATCTTGATTTTGATATTTTTATAATTTTTTTATGAACATATCAACTTGAATTTAATTGATATTGCTGATTTGTGTTTCGTGGTTTTAAACATTATATTTAATGAAATATTATAATTTAAAAATATATTATTTCACTAATTTTTTTAGATAAAATGATGGGTGGAAGAAGGCCGTTGATAGCAAGGGAAAAAATTCTAAAACCCTCTCCTGCCACAGAGGCCCAATTAGGAACTTGCTTGTCTTGGAGAGTGTTAAATTTAGAACGGGTTGATATATATTATAGGGGCCTCAGGCAAATATTTCAAGGTTTTTAGATTTCAGATTTTGATATTTTTATTCACCGTAATATAATTACTATTTTTTCATTTCAAAGCAAAATTAATTATCTATTTATTTAGGTAAAATAATATTTTCTATGAAATTTATTAGCCCACATGGTATTAAGGAGACAATTCAGTCTTTTTAACTGTTTTGGGCACAATAAAATAATTAAATTATTCTTAAAAATAAAAATTATTTAACTGCCTAAGTTTTTTCATTTTTTTAAAACACAATAATATCATTAAATTAATTTTAAAATAAAATTTCTTTAATTAACATACAATTTTTTTATTTTTTTACCGTGGTTTATAGAATTAGTCAAATTCAGAGGTTTCAAATGATACAGCTGTAAAATGATAAACAATCTTGCGTTTTTCATGAAACTCAAACGACATGTCTGTTTTGAGGGGGGAAAACAGAGAAAAAAAGAAGAAAAACTTGTGTAGTTGTCGTTTGGCCGCCTGGAAGGAACTACTTGTAGCTTGTGTACGGAGATGGAGAGCTGAAGCAGCATCCTGCCTAATCCAACCAAAAAGAAAAGGCCATGCCATGGCTGCTGCTGCTCTCACAAATCAGACCTCGCTTTCGTCTCCTCTCTTGTTTAACAATCCTCACCCTAATCCAAACTACTCAAAATCTCATCTTTCCATTCTCTCTAAATCATCAAGACCATCATTTTCTCTCTTAGCAACTTCTCACTCTTCACCTGCCATTTTCCTTCCTTTTCTTGAACATGAAAAACAAGAAGTTGAACACCTAAGCACGACACAAACACAACAAGATGGTGATGATGATGATGATGCTAATGAAGAGGACAAAGATGGTGAGGAGGAGGAGGAGGACTCTGTTGACCCAATTTTAAGATTCTTCAAGTCCCAGACTTCAACAACACAAGACCCTCCTCGACAGGGCAAATTCTCTCTCAAGAAAAACAGACGCTCCTCGTGGCGCCTAGCTCCTCAGTTTGATTCAGACACTCTAAATGAAGAAAGCCCACAAATAGTTGCTTCAAATTCTGTTTCCAGGCTACCTGATGGAGTTGTAGGAGAAATATTGAAACTTGCAAGGGAGTTGCCAAAGAATATGACTCTGGGAGAGATATTGGGTGGTTATGAAGGGAGGGTTAGTGCAAAAGAGAGTGTGGAAATATTGGGGTTGATGGGAGAGGAGGGTTTGTTAATGAGTTGTTTGTATTTTTATGAGTGGATGGGGTTGCAACAACCGTCTTTAGTTACTGCTCGTGCTTGTACTATTTTGTTTCCGATATTGGGTAGAGCTGGAATGGGTGATAAGTTGGTGATTTTGTTAAGGAATTTGCCTCAACAGAAGGAGTTTCTAGATGTTCATGTTTATAATTCCTGTATTTCTGGTCTTCTCTGCTGTGGAAGGTATGTAAAGTTTGGTTCTCTTGTGTTTGTTGCTTTGGCTTTTAGTCTCATTCATGTGCTTTTGTATATGCCAATTTAGGGTGTTGATAATGAACTGTTCTTTGCGTAAGTTGAGTGATGTGGTTAATATTTATTGATTTCACAATCGAAAGTTCCAGATGTCTTGTGTCTGTTGCCAAATACAAAGCTCTTTTGCTTTGTTTGGTGTTTGGGATATGTAGTTTTTACATGTTGCACAGCCATGCTTTCCCCCCTGTTGCGCATTTGTATAAAATAACCGAGATAATATCTTGTTGGTGCGGGTTTTCTGAAAGTGAATCTTATTTTTGTGTAGTGCCTTCTAGGTTTTGTTATCTCTTTAATGTTTGCTTACTTATAGCCGAATGACCAATCATAAGCTGCCTTGAGTATTGGCAGTCAGCTTGAATAGTTTCTTTTTCAGACCATGCTTTGGAATTATTTCATCAATCTCATTGTGCCCCGGTCTCATTAATATCCAGGCTTAATTGTTGCCAATGCAACTCTGCATCTGGTTCAGTTTTCCATGTGAAAACAGAAATTTGATTTTGTTTTGCTGGAAGAGCTTTATTTTTAATGTCTACCATCTTATATCAGGTATAATGACGCTTACGAGGTGTATGAGGCAATGGAAGCATGTAATGTTTCTCCAGATCACGTGACATGTTGTATAATGATTACAGTCATGAGGAAAAAGGGTTGTACTGCAAAAGAGGCATGGGAATTCTTTGAGAGAATGACTAGGAAAGGAGTCAAATGGAGTCCAGAAGTTCTAGGTGCTCTAATAAAATCGTTCTGTGACGAGGGACTAAAGAAGGAAGCCCTTATTATCCAGACAGAAATGGAGAGAAGAGGTATTTCTTCAAATGCTATCATCTACAACACATTGATGGACTCCTACAGCAAATCCAACCAAATTGAAGAAGCTGAAGGTCTTTATTCTGAGATGCAGGCAAAAGGCCTGAAGCCCACATCTGCTACCTTTAACATTCTTATGGATGCATACAGCAGAAGAATGCAGCCTGATATAGTTGAGAAACTGCTGCTGGAAATGCAGGATGCAGGATTAGCACCTAATGCTAAATCCTATACATGCCTAATTAGTGCGTATGGAAGGCAGAAGAAAATGAGTGACATGGCTGCAGATGCGTTCTTGAGGATGAAGAAAGCTGGGATAAAACCTACTTCATATTCATATACTGCTCTTATCCATGCTTATTCAGTTAGTGGCTGGCATGAAAAAGCTTATATAACATTTGAGAATATGCAAAGAGAAGGAATCAAACCGTCAATTGAAACTTACACAACCCTTCTTGATGCATTCAGGCGTGCTGGTGATACAAAAACATTAATGGACATTTGGAAATTGATGATGAGGGAAAAAGTTGAAGGGACACGGGTGACATTCAACATTCTTCTTGATGGGTTTGCCAAACAAGGTAACTACATGGAAGCTAGGGATGTGATAAATGAATTCAAGAAGTTTGGCTTGCATCCAACGGTGATGACATATAACATGCTGATGAACGCATATGCACGGGGAGGTCAAGACTCGAAGTTGCCTCAGCTGTTGAAAGAAATGGCTACTCTCAAACTAGAACCTGATTCCATTACTTATATGACCATGATCTATGCATATGTCAGAGTTCGTGATTTTAGGAGGGCATTCTTTTATCACAAGATGATGGTGAAAAGTGGTAAGGTACCAGATGCCAAGTCCTACCAAAAGCTTAGGGCAATATTGGATGTAAAAGCTGCAATAAAGAACAGGAGGGACAAGAGTGCTATACTTGGTATAATTAATAGCCAAATGGGTACGTTGAAAGTTAAAAAGAAAAGGAAGAAAGATGAGTTCTGGAAGAACAAGAAAAGGCATGTAAGGGCTCCTAATGCTTCCCATGATAAATAATGACTGCAATTCATGGGGGCTATGTAACATAAGTAAAGCTAAGTTGACCTACGTTGGCCTTTTTGTAGAGATGATACATCTTCTATTTGTCGTAATTACAGACTTTCCTCCAAACAAAATTTGGGATTTTGAATATTTAATGTGATGTTTTTGTTGGATCAATATTTATTACTATCTATAGTTATCAAACCCAATAGTTATCAAACCCGGTTAGAATGTTGACCTGGTTAAAAAT